TTCTGTCCCAACATCATCCACAACCACTGTGACTTCATATTCAACGGTTGAGCTCTCAATCGCCCGGCTGGAAACAATGGTGTTGAAAGTAGAGGCTGATGTGGAGGCCGATCCAAATGAGGAGAAAAAAGAGCAGGAACCAGAGGCGGCCGTTGATATGAATGTGCAAGTTGCGAAGACAGGGCCGAAGTACAAACACCAGAAACTGTACCTTAAATATGTCGCAGTAAGCGACTTAACTCTATCAATCACCAGAATACATTCCTCAGGGGTGATGTTCCGGTGCAAGGCTCCAGCATTTTGAATGCTGCAAGTAAAGACAAGTCGGTCAGTTAGTCCATTGAACCGTAATTTAGCCGACAGGCCGGTCAGCCGGCAAATTGGATGGAGAATGGGATAGATGGAGGAGCAAAAAGATGAATGCGATGGAATGAACGTATGAATGAATGAAAAAATTGATGAATGCAGTAATTTGATGCCTACAACATGGTCTTGCAAATGGATAAATGGGTATGTGAATAGACGATTGAAAAGTGCACATATGGATCGGTGCATTGAGATAGTAAAAGGTAGGTGGATGATGGGCAGACGGGTATTAGCGATTATCTTATCTCCTCAGCCTAAATCGCAGTCACTGCACATTTCTCCTCTTCGCTGCTAACCCGCAGCCCTTAACTGTCCCACCTCCTTTAATACATTTGTTTTCTTTTCTTCCACTATGCTGCATTTGTTTCTCAATAATTTATTTACCGTAATGGACCCGCATTATCCCGCTCTGCATTCTCTCCTTCCATTCCAGTGAACCATTTCGACATAAATGCGTCTGCGTTTTCTCTTTGCTCTCATCTACTGCCAGTCACAATACTGATCAGACTAATTTCTCGGTTGAGTGACTGATTCACTGACCGATTGATTGCCTACTTGGCCGACTTACAGACCGGTAGGGAAGTTGATTATTGCATTTTCATGGAGCATTGGGTTCATACCTCCTTCAGCACCTTGCCCTTCTACCACGTTATTGCTGCTTGGTAATGTGAAT